GTACATACCTAACCCTAAACCTAACCATTACCAGTACATACCTAACCTTAAACCTAACCATTACCAGTACATACCTAACCCTAAACCTAACCATTACCAGTACATACCTAACCCTAAGCCTAACCATTACCAGTACATACCTAACCCTAAACCTAACCATTACCAGTACATACCTAACCCTAAACCTAACCATTACCAGTACATACCTAACCCCAAACCTAACCCATCCTGAAGTTACACCTTAAACCTAAACCTGGGGGCAGTGCCACTTCATTGGCAAATGGGGGTGGTGGTTCCCCTCTTCAACAGGGGGGCCGGAGGGTGTGCTCCAATTATAGGTTCATCACTCTCCTTATCCTCCCTGGTAAGGTCTATTCAGGGATACTGGAGAAGCGAGTCCAATCACTGGTCGAACCTCAGATCCAGGAGGAACAATGCGGGTTCTGTCCTGGCTGTTGAACACTGGAGCAGCTCTATTCCCTCACTAGGGTCCTTGAGGGATCATGGGAGTTTGCAAATCCAGTTTTAAATGTGTTTTGTGGACTTGGAGAAGGCATTCGACCGTGCTCCTTGAGGTACACTGTGGGGGTGCTCAGTGTATGGGATCGGGGCCTGTTGACATGGGCTGTTTGGTCTCTATACAAGCGATGCAAAAGTTTGGTTCACATTTCCAGTAGTAAGTCGGACCCCTTCAGGGTTGGAGTTGGAGCCAGCGGGCAGAGGGAATCCTGTTCGGTGGCTTCAGGATCATCTCTGCTCTTTGCAGATGATGTGGTCCTGTTGGCGTCATCGTGCCGTGATCTTCAGCTCTCACTTGAGCGGTTCACAGCCGAGTGTGAAGCAGCTGGGATGAGAATCAGCACCTCCAGATCTGAGGCCATGGTCCTCAGTTGGAAAAGTGTGGATTGTTGTCTTCAGGTCGAGGGTGAGGTTCTGCCTCAAGTGGAGGAGTTCAAGTGTCTCAGGGTTTTGTTCATGAGTGAGAGAAGAATGGAGCGTGAGATTGACAGATGGATTGGTGCAGCATCTGCAGTATTGTGGACTCCGTGCCGGTCCATTGTGGTGAAGAGGAAGCTGAGCTGTAAGACAAAGCTCTCTGTGTACTGGTCAGTCTACGTTCCTCCCCTCACCTCTGGTCAAGAACTCTGGTAGAGACTGAAAGAATGAGATCGTGGATCCAGGAGGTTGAAATGAGTTTCCTCTGCAGGGTAGCTGGACTCTCCCTGAGAGACAGGGGGAGAAGTTCAGTTATCAGGAGAGACTCAGAGTAGAACCACTGCTCCTCCACATCGAGCTGTTTGTTTCCTTTTTTAATATAATTTTCTTTAATTTATTATTCTCCGTTTATAAACTTTCTTTTATCCATTTTGTCATTTTGTCTTTTGTCCATTGTTATCATCATTCTTTGTTAAATCAGGTCTCTCTTGTAAATGAGTCCCCGATGCTCAATGAGACTAACCTGTAGAGATAAAGCTTGAATGAATGGAGAGGAGCTAGTTAAGGAGGTTCAGGCATCTGGTAAGGATGCCTCGTGGGCACCTCCCTAGGGAGGTGCTCTGTACGTCTGACTGGGAAGAGGCCCTGTGGAAGACCCAGTAGAAATTCATCCAAAATTATTTCACAGTTGAGCCCCAGAAATCCAAAATAATCAAAAATGTATCTATTTTTTGTTTCTATAGATGAAAACTTTTATTTCATTACTTTGTATAAATGAACTCTCAGGTACAATGAAAGCCTGACACTTCCAGAGGAACTTACTGCCTCTTTTCTTTTTTAGTACACGCCCACAAATACTTGCAAACTCTGATCACAAACAATTGTCAAGAAATTATGTTTATTGATAAAACAGATGACACGGAGTCCTGTGCCCTCGCCATTCGTCATCTTGGTCATAAGAGGCTCCTCCCCCTCTCTGCCTTTGGCCCTCAGACAGAGATTGTATGGATGCTCTCGTGTTTATGTTTGGGAGATTAGCAATGATGAAAGAATGTCTTTTCAAGTCTGGGCTGGAGGGGCCTCTGTTCAATGCCACACCCTTTCACCATGCACGCACACATGCACACTCACACACACACAGATTTATTTCTGTTTCCGTCACAGTACGCTCGTCATACTGTATCTTTAAAGTCCGTCAACCCAGACACATTTTCTTGTATTTGTTCCTGCGAGTGAACGCAGCAGAGACACTTGCTTGTATGTGTGCTCTATGATCAAGCTCTCTCCAAGACCTTCACTGTTTCTGACGTCTTGAACTATCAGTCTCTTTCTCTTGATTTTGCATTGGTATTAGCAAATCTCTGAGTTTGGAAGGACAAGCATGCTCAAACAATATGCTTCCCTTCAGTTCAAATATGAATCAGGGGTTTCCAAACACACCATGATTATGAGTGGGTGAAGCCCTTTGGGGCCTCTCCCTGAAGAAAATATCTAAAGACCATTTGGTCACAGTCTCCTGATCCTGTTCGCTCTTGAACAAGTCAATTGTCTAAAATCTATCTCCAGTCACGTTTGTTTGACCAGGTATTACGGGCTCCGTTGTGTAACTTTTCTCTTTTATGCAAAGCCCATTTTGTTTTCTCTGGCTCCTTTTCAAGTCCCTACATGGCAGTTTCACTCACTACTCACTGCTCCAAGCTTGGGGAACAGTTCACACTACACACCAGAGTCCGTTCTTGTCTTTAAACTGACTTTGATGGTTTATTATCCAGCGTGGTGACTGTATCCAGCTCCTTTGTTGTTTTTGCACGAAAACCATTCATTCCTCAGATGCGGGGAACCACAGATGATTAGAAACTTTTAGATATATCTCTGATTGCAGGAGGGCAGACTGCTCAGAGCTACACTCCCTTATGGCTTAGCTGTAAAACGGTGGAAAGCACCTTTGATGTGACGTCATGAGTAAGTAGTTTTGAAGTGGCTAACTAAAGGATAATGAAAGTACTGGGGGCTTGTTAGAATGTCCTGGAAACCACTTAATTAAACATAAATTCAAATGATAGTCATTATTTCTCGATTGGCTTGATAATGTGCTGGGAAGGAAGAGACACATCAAGAAGGTTTGAAAGATGAAAGCTGTTTGAAAAGTCACCTTAGAAAACAGTAAACCTGAGCATGCAGCTTTGGTATCCAGTGTGCAACACATCATCAGTCCAATCAGGAAATAACAACCATCATTTGAATTCATTAAAAAAGGTTCAGTCATCCAGGCACATAAATCACATAAAAGTTAAATCTACTTTTCCTGTAGGACCAAGCTTCTTCTTCTTGGAGAAAATAGATAAGACCCTCGGACCCTGCATTGATTATTGTGGCCTGAACTGACATGATCTGTCCCTTTGTCTGTTTTATTTGTGTTTCTTTGGTCTTTATTTTTCTTTTCATTCTGTTCCTTGTGTTTTTCACTGTGTCCTCTGTCGCTCTCTACTCCTCAGCCTGCCTCTCCAGTCACTGTTCACACCTGACTCTAATCAGTAACCTTCCCAGGTGCACTCATTACCCACTCTTCCTCTGCCTTATTTAAACCTCTCCTCATCACCACTCATACGTCCGCTCATTGACCTGTCAACCACCGACGTCCCAAACCTCCTCTGTTCTGTTCATATACATCTGATGATCCGTTCCGTCCTGCTCCTGTTTTGCCTGAGAATCCGCTCGTATAAGATTTTGCTGCCTTGCCAGCCTTTTGTTGTTGTTTAAATAAATTATTTTTATTTAAACTCCTCACCTGCCTGCCAGTGGGTCTAAAAACTGAGGATTGCGATATCAACCAAATCCCCATAAAACATAAAAATCCACTACCTCGGGTTGATCCTGTCTACAAAAAACTCCATTCAGCTAAAATTTTCACAAAACTCTATCTACGCAACGCATCCCATTTGGTCTGAATAAAAGGAGACGAATGGAAAACCACTTTCTGCTGGGTTCCTTTGAGTATTTAGCGATACCTTTTGGGTTAACTAACTGTTAACTGGCCGTATTCCAAGATGAAGTCAATGACGTCCTTAGGGATTTTCTCAAGGTGTTTGTGTTGAGTTGCCACTGAGTGTCCGGCAGGCTCCCACACTCTCAGTCTTTAAGTCTCGCTTGAAGACCCACTTCTATTCGCTTGCCTTTAACACGGTGTGATTTGTTTTGGTCCGGTCTGTTCTCTACTCTGTTGGCCATTTTAGTTAGCTTCTGCTGCTATTTGTATCTGTATTTCTATTTTATGTTTTCCTGTCTGCTGTGCATGTTTGCTTCTTTTGTACAGCACTTTGGTTGGCCTTGTTGCTGTTTTAAGTGCTATATAAATAAATTGGTATGGTATGGTATGGTATGGTATGGTGTTAGTTAATCTTGATGAAATTTTGATTTATTCTCAGGACCCACAGCACTCTCACCATGTCTGGGCTGTCCTACAGAGGCTCATGTAAAACCAGCTGTTCATTAAAGTTCATTAAAGCTGCTATATCCTTTTGGGGTTTCTCTTCGAGAGTGGTCAGATTCAGATGTTGTTGTGGAAGCAGGTTGAGAGCATAGCTGATCCCAATCAGCCACTCAGCCACCTACCCTTCACAAGGCCAAGTCTTCTCACAAGTCTCTGGTGGATTATTAGTCACTTATGGTAATCGTTACCTCTGCTCTTGAGCCTTTTGTGAATACTAGGATTACTAATACTTACCTGTGTCTTGCAGTGACCTCCCTACGTATGTTCCTGGATTCCATGATTTCCCTGATGCCGTCTGGAACTCCTTGTTTGCTCCAAGCCTGCCTCATTTTCAACTTTACGGAGTTGAAACTCCTGTTATTGGACTCAGCCCTCCTCCTGCCTGCCTGATGTCACAACACAGCACTTGCCTACCTCCTTCACCAGGACATCCTCTTCTCTGAGCACAGAACCATGGGCTGACAGTGCCAGCTGAAACCTGAAAATCAAAACAGACCAAATAAGAACAAATTCAGACACTGATTCCAGTTTTGTTCAGTATTCAGTATCTCTTGAAGTTCCTGGGTGGCAGGGAGGAGCTGTTCACCCACAACTGTTCCCATTCAACTGATGAGGCTCTGCTGGTACAAAAGGCAGAGTGGAACCAGAACTTGATGTTGGAAAATTATTTGCCACAATGCAACAATATAAAAATGGATCGTTAACTTAAGGTGTCATTTGTCTCCACCTTTTCTTTACATGCAGGTTTTTCTATACTGAGAAGGACAGTTTTTTTTTTCTTATTCAACAATAAATATCAGACAAGAAAATGGAAGGATGAATTCATTAATTCTTCTGCACACATGTCAGTTTTAAATAGAGTAAAACATCTTGGATGAGAAGCAAAGAATCATTTGTCTTCAGTTCATGCCTGGTGTGTGATCGGAGCAACACTCAGAGGAGCTGTGCAGACACAGTTCGGGTGTTTGGACAGTAAAGTGGGTTTGTTGAGGTAGACTTGCTGTATTTGTTGTACATGAGGATCAGATGGCACTACTGCTGACCCCTACGTGTATCTTCCTGTCCCCCAGCTGAACCACAGCATAAGGGGGGCCCTTATCTAGTCAAACTGGGCAGTGCGGAGGGGAAGGCTTTGAAGACACGCTTGTGTGGCGATGTAATCAGGCAGACTGCTGTAGGGTCGCAAGCACCACCCTCACCAGTGCTGTGTGGGACCCCTCTTTACCTTTTTTCTGCTTTTAGAAACAAAGAGAGAGAGAGGAGAACACAGCAAAACTCTCTGGATGTTGCTTGAGCAGCAGAGGCCCCTGGGTATGTTTTCAGACTTATGCAGACAGTATCACGTAGAGTGCTTCCAATTTGATAATTGCAAGTAGCATCATGTGAAGAATCTCCAAGTGATAAAACACTCAGAAAAACCTGTGGGATTTACTGCAAATTTTCCACCCTGGACAGAAACATAAATAAAGATTATCTAAAGAGACAAGCTGATCCCGGAGGTCCCCCTTGTGTTACCCTCCACATGGCGCAGACAACGCCTTTCAGATATCAATTTTAAAAATAAAAACTTCAGAGATAAAAATAAAAAAACATACAGAAATTTGTATGTGGTGTTCGATGCTGGTTTTTACAATACTTATAACCACTGAACAAATCAAATTTAAACATATTTTTCTTCCAGTTACAGTAAATTATTTAACCCTATTGTTAAACTTATTCTTTTTTAGATGTATTTGATCTTTCACAAGCCACACAAAGACAACAACTGGGGTGGCTGAAAAATCTACAGAGGACAAGCAAAGCAACAAACAAAAAAATAGTTTTCATATAAGAACCTTTGTGGCAAAACGTAGGACAACACTTACAGACTTCATTTACAAATTGTGTCTCGTGCTATAAAATACACATTTTCACCAAACTTACCTCTTTGACGCTTTCATCTTTCACTAATGTGTTTCACACAAGCCTCCCAACGACACCCCACTACTCACAGATATTGATTTGGATCAGGCTCTGTCACGTTTGCATGAAGGAGGTTCCATTTCTTTTCTCCTTTCACTCATTTTTGTTCCCCCTCTTCCCATCACATCTCCATGCTGCCTCCTCACAGGCCCTTTGATGTGCCTGCTTTAATTTGGAGCTTAATGGAATCTGTGGCACTGCTGTGCGTATCGGTAGCAGGATCACAGATCCCAGGGTTCATTGCGGCATGCCTCCATTCTAGTGAGTGGGTGTCAAGATAGTCGTGCAACAATAGAGCGTGGCCTGTAGCCCTAGGAGACAAACAGCCTTTCCAATGCAGATCTCAGAGAATCGACAGCTGCCAATGTGACTCACTGGAGGATGTCCTATGAGTAACTCCACGTTACAAACTGTTGATTTAAAAAGATTATTTAGCAAGGTTGTGTGGAATACATTGTTTCTCTCTGTCGTTCCTCTAAATCGTGCACTCCTGCTCGATGCAGCTGAGCTTTTAATCACTCTGCTGCTGCTCATTTTACTGAGGTTTGTAATTCTGAAGGGATCAAGCAGCCCTCAGTGTCTTCCACCACTGAGGAGCTAACCCTTCAGTGTCACTCTGTGTGTTTAAATATTTTGGACCGTGTGGCTCCAGTCAAAACCAATCATCCAAAGCCTAGCTCAGAGCTATGGTTGAATGACGTCACTCGAGCTATTAGACGGCAGTGCAGGACGATGGATGGAGGTGGAGGAAAGACAGGTTGCAGGTTTCTTTTGAAATGCTGAAAGAGATTTGGTGTTATCAGAAAGCTGTAAAAGCTGATAAATCTAAACATTTTTCTTTATTATTGTCTCCAACTCTGACAACCCCTGAGTTATTTTTTCTAGGCTGAGCTCAGTTCTTGCTCCCGAGGCCGACGGCCTCAATCCCTCCGTCTCCCCATGTCTGTTTGTTTCTCTCGGACGGGCTGCACTGAAAGTGTAATTTCATTGTGCTTCAGTGCAATTACAATAAAGCTGATTTTGATTCTTTTTGGAGCAGTTAATGTGCAGCGTGAAGTTATCTGGTTCCACCTTCGACGTTGTCCCCCCTAGACTTCTAAAGGAGGTCTTTCCTATTCTGGGCCCCTCCATTCTCTTTATTGTGAATAGCAGTTTAACCTTAGGTATGGTGCCAAAAAGTTTTAACATGCCACTGTGCAACCTCTGCTGAAAATCCTAGTCTTGACCCTTATGTGGTGTCCAACTTTAGTCCTGTCTCCAGACTCCTGTTTGTTTCCAAATTACTGGAACAAATAGTTGATTCTCAGTTAAAATGTTTCCTGGAGGATCACTGTATATTGGAGGTGTTCCAGCCAGGCTTCATGTCTCTCCACAGCACTGAGATTGTTCTATTGAGGGTTTTTAATTACATTTTCATAGCCACAGATGCAGGTGATTTTGTGCTGCGTGTCTTATTGGACCTTACATCCACTTTTGACACCATCAACCATGAGATCCTCATTTCTAGGCTAGAGACACTGCTCTCGACCCTCAAATGGTTTAGGTCCTACCTCTCCGATAGACCCTTTTGTGTCTATGTCAAGGATTTTATTTCAACATCGGCAGCTCTTTGGTGGGGGTACCACAGGACTCCATTCTTGGACCCCTTCTCTTTTCTTTATACCTGCTCCCACTAGGAGCTATTTTTCATAAACATGGCATAGCTTTTCATTTTTATGCTGATGTCTGTCAAATGTATTTCCCTCTGAAGCACACTGGTGCACACTCTATCGAACCACTTCACTGCCTGGTTGACATCAGGGATTGGATGGCTTTAAATTTTTTTAAATTTTAATGAGAAAAACACACAAGTCATTTTGTTTCCACCTAATGGCACGATCAAGAACCACTGTATGGACCTTTCCTCTCTAGCCCCTTTTGAGTAACTGGTTGTCACTAATCTTGGACTGAAAATGAACCCTTCCATGTGCTAAGATATTTTTGGACTGATCCTATGGTTTGGATCTGCTCAAAGACAGGATTATAATGAAATTATGACCCGGTTCTGACTGGGTTAAACTGGGCCAGTAACTCTAAAAAGAATGTTCCTGGGATTCAATATCAGTCAAGGAATAGAGTTTAATCTGCTTGCCACATCGCGTAGAAAGGCTTTTGAAGCACTGTATCATATTTCCTTACACGTCAATCCATGTAAGATCCATTGAGACCTCATTGAGGTCCTGACCAGTCCAGGACCCTATAAATGAGTAATAACATGGGACATCGGGGCTCTTCTTCCGGGTCTGTGAACGCGTCGCAGACGGGAGAGTCCAGCGCTATAAATTGTAACGTTTTCCTGCCTTTTTTAATATAATTGATAAAACTTAATTGACGTTTCCTGGACTTATTGATAATGAGAGTTGCCACTTCTGAGGGAAGTTTGAGCCGGGGGGAAAGACGTGGGCTGGAGGGGGTTTCCGGGTCCGGTGGCCCACAGCCAGCTCCCGTCTTTAACAGTTGGTGCCATGACCCAGGTTTACAACCATGTAAACATGATTACATGATTACTGCTGCTGTTGTTGTTTGGCATATTGTTTTTGTACTATTAGTGCTTATAGTGTATTCTTAGTTTAGTGTATTTCTTAGTTCATATCTTAGATCTTATCACTGTTTTTCTTTACACTTTATACTTTTGTTGGATGTAACTGGGACCCTATGTACGCAATTTCATTCTATCACATGTACCACATGGTACGAACGACAAATAAAGAGACTTTGACTTTGATTTTTGTTATTTAATCCTTAATTTTTTTTATTTTTTTTTTTTGGTGGGGGGCGTTATTTTTTTGTTGAGACAATTGTCTTGAATTGAAGTCCATACTATCCAAAAGTAATCTTGAGACTGTATTACCAGTACATGCGTTCATAACATCCAGGCTTGATTACTGCATTGCGCTTCATTTTGGAATCTGTCAGACCTCTATTGAACGACTACAACTGGTTCAAAATGCCACAGCCTGATTTTTACCTGGTAGAGGCAAAAGAGAGCACATTTCTCCAGTTTTGGCTTCCCTGCACTGGCTCCTGGTTCACTTCCAAATTCATTTTAAAATCCTTGTGTATGTTTTTAAATCTCTGAACAGCTCTGCCCCCTTGTATCTTGCTGATCTGCTGCAGCCATATGTCCCACAGCGCTCTCTGAGGTCAGCAGACCGGATGCTTTTATTGGTTCCAGGCACTCGTTTAAAGCTCAGAAGTGACAGGGCCTTCTCTGTTGCAGGTCCAAAACTGTGGATTGACTTACCATTACCACTGCATGTCGGGCAGGCTCCCTCGCTCACTGTTTTTAAGTCTCGTTTAAAATCTCACTTTTATTCTCTGGCTTTTGATCCAGTGTGAGTTGATTTTTAACTTCACCATGTTTTAATTTTAGTAATTTAGTTTATTTTCATTACCTCTGTGGATTTATGTAATTCATCCTGTGTCTGTGATCATTTGTTTTGTTGTACAGTACAGCACTTTGGTTGGCCTTGTTGCTGCTTTTAAGTCCTTTATAAATAAAGTGGTCTGGTCTGGTCTGGTATGGTATGGTATGGTATGGTATGGTATGGTATGGTATTTATGGTATGGTATGGTCTGGTATGGTCCGGTCCACTTTATTTATAAAGCACTTAAAACAGCTACAAGGCCAACCAAAGTGCTGTACAGACAGAACAACAGAGAACACATGAAGCAATATACAAAATGAAGTAAATCAAAAATATAGACATAAAAACGATGCAGATAATAACTATGATGACAAACCAGTGTGGAGTGTACAGGTTCAAAACACAGATGGTCTGGTCTGGTCTGGTCTGGTATGGTATGGTATGGTCTGGTTTGGTTTGGTATGGTATGGTCTGGTATGGTCTGGTATGGTCTGGTATGGTATGGTATGGTCTGGTTTGGTTTGGTATGGTATGGTATGGTATGGTCTGGTTTGGTTTGGTTTGGTATGGTATGGTATGGTATGGTATGGTATGGTCTGGTATGTCTGGTATAGTATGGTATGGTATGGTCTGGTTTGGTTTGGTATGGTATGGTATGGTCTGGTATGGTATGGTATGGTTTGGTTTGGTTTGGTATGGTATGGTATGGTTTGGTTTGGTAAGGTATGGTATGGTATGGTATGGTATGGTATGGTATGGTATGGTATGGTTTGGTCTGGTCTGGTATGGTATGGTCTGGTCTGGTATGGTATGGTCTGGTATGGTATGGTATGGTATGGTATGGTTTGGTTTGGTATGGTATGGTCTGGTATGGTCTGGTCTGGTCTGGAGTGAGGTAGTGACAGAACTGTCAAGGCTGTTATTTTTTAAAGTGTAAGCAGGCATTGTGCTTCAAAGTTTGATCCAGTGGTGACAGATGGTCTGTGTGACCAGCCAACCACAAGATTTAGAACAGGAGCACCCTCTCACAGGGGAACCAAGCTAACCCAAGCAAAAGGCTACAAAAAGAACGACCCATTCAGCAAAGGATTTCTCCCCTCTAAAACAACTTTTCTAATAATTCAAACAAATGCCACTTTAAGTATTTTTACACCGCCACACTTTTGAACAAGGTTCAGCAGTTGTTTTCAGTACTGCTGTCTTCATCCCCAGACAGTTGCCAAACAAATGTTAATGTTCATAGCAGAGATCACCAGGAGCTTTTCTGTCCCTCTTACCAACAGTTCTTCATTTTCACTCCTACCACTGATTGTTGTATTTTAAAGCCAAACTCAAACGCTCAGTTTACATTAGGCCATATATGGTCTATCCAGAGCCCAGAAGTGTGACTGAACCCAAAAGTGGTGTCAGGAATTTTACACACTCTAAACCAGACCAGAACCGTCAATTCATAGGAACTATAAATGAAAGCAGGTGGTTTCCTCTGCAGGAAAATCTCTCCATAAGACAGAGTGCTTGGGGCAGCGAGTTATGAGTGACAAATGATAAAAGTACAGTCGTAAATCAATTTT